GACCCTCAATGAGATGGATTGACACAGTGGCTGCAACAATGGGCTCAAACACAGCAACAGTTGTGAGGATGGCACATGACCAGGCAGTGTTTAGTTCTGTTGTACAAAGGGTCACTATGACTTAGAACTGACTCAATGGCACCTAACAACAACAAAAAGTTGTTTCAAGTCTAGTACAGTCTGGTAAAGATCTTAAGTGATCTGTGGAATAAGGCCTTCATCACCCATCATCTACCCATGAAAACCGGTCTCTACTCTGAAATGCTTTAATCCTATCTGTAGAACCAACATTTTCCAACGATTAAACCTCTGATGCCAGGGTTAACTTCTCCCACATCCTTTCACATTAATCAGTCACCAGGTCTATCCTTTCCTCCCTCTGTAGAGCTTTCTTCTGTTCCTACCGCCACCACTACTGCCGTCACTTCCCATCTAGACTCTTACTGTTACTTCTTAACTATTTTCCACCACTCAAGTCCCTCTGACCTCTAATCGGTCCCACAAATAATTTCAACAGTCTTCCTAAATCCCGACTCCCTGTTCATTCAGTTGCTCAGAAATCCTGAATCACTTTCCGTAACCCATGGCATGAAGATTAAACTCCTTAGACTGGTTCAGGCCCTAAACCATGTAACCCCAACTATTTCCTCAAACTTACATTTAACAGTCTTCACTGTTAGCCTGCATAGCTCCAGTTCAAACAGCTCTACTTAGCTTCTTACCTTCTCACCCCACCTAAAACATTCAATGAATTCCGGCCTCCTCATACTCTGATGCCTTCATCTGCTGGAAATTCACACCCAAGTTACAATTCCAGCTCTGCTCTTGTGTCAAGGTGCTTAGACCAACCAGGCCACACTGATGACTCTCTCATCTTCAGGAGCACAAATGCACCTTGGTCCCATTCCTTTGCTAACAGGCATAGGCTATCTGGCAGTATTACTGAGTTCTGTGCAAAAGCCTTTGTTTTTCCCACTGAGCTATAAGCTCCTTGAAGAGTGGAAAAATGCCTTATGTTTTTTCAAGATGTCCCATGCTTAACAGAGTGCCTTATAAATTCAACAATTACACAATGAAGATGATAAGAAAACTGATGAAATTAGTCACTGATAAACACCACACATCAGTGAATCTGAAACTTTAATTGTGCATGAGAATTTCTTAAAACCCAAGAAAATCAAACCTGTTACTGTCAAGTCGATTCTGACTCATAGCGACCCTACAGGACAGAGTAGAACTGCCCCATAAGATTTCCAACGAGTGGCTTGTGGGTTCGAACTGCCAACCTCTTGGTTAGCAGCTGAGCTCTTAACCACTGCACCACCGGGGCTCCAAGAGAATGACCTAAGATGCTAGTTAAAAATGTATATGCCTAGACCCAACCCAGAAATTTGGCTGGTCTTAGGTGAACAGAAAAAAATTAAAGACCTCTAGGGAGTTCTGATGCAGTTAGCACACAGATTTAATTATGACAAACACTGCCACTGATTAAGTGGAAATAGTAGATAAAACAAGTAGAAAAAAGGTATGTGGAATTATAAATAATGCAGAAAGAACATCTGGCATGTTACAAACAAGTTGCCATTATTATAAGTTGTTTATGATAGTCACAATAAATCATACATATTTTTACTATACTAATTAAAAATAGCTATTTTCATTAATGCAGTTAGTATTATATTAAATTAATCTATTTCTCGCTTTTAAACTATAAATGGAGAGATATTTAAAGTTATTTGTGTAAAACGGAAGACAGATTATATTTATTCATTCAATAATAGTTGATCTTCTAGATTATTCACTTAACTGAAACAAGACTGTAAATCTTTCAGCTTTCCTCTATTGAGTTCTATCTTTGACAAAGGCATCTGCAAAGTAACACACGCCCTCCTTACATTTATTAATCTCAAAATATATAAGTATCTAGGTATTTATACTTCCAGTCCGACCCACTTATTGGAATAACAAGTTGCACAAGTTTACCTCCTGATATGAAGTGTTCTTCTGCCTCTCAATAAACCAGCTTCTGTCTATTTTAAAACCAAACCCTTTGACTTCAACCAAGCAGAGTGAACTCTTGTTGTTGTTGTTAGGTACCGTCAACTCGATTCCGACTCATAGTGACCTTATGTACCACAGAACGGAACACTGCCCGGTCCTGCGCCACACTCACAATCGTTGTTGTGCTTGAGCCCACTGTTGCAGCCACTGTGTCAACTCTACCTAATCTCTACCTAATCTCAAACTGGCACATGATTGGATTTAGCTGCTGCTTTTCCCAGGTTTTGCCATTATTTTTGGTTTAGTGTTATAATTTGAAACATCTTCTTTTCTCCCCCCAACATGTCTAGTTAACTTGAATCATATAATAGCACAACTTCTGTCTGCCTTACTTTTCTAACAGTGACTTGTCTGCGCTAACATTTTAGAATTTTTCAATAAGCCATATGAGCATGAGCATGAGTTATTAAAGAGAAACCTACTAAATGTAAATATAAGTTGAGAAACAAGGAGATCTTGTTTTCATTTGTAATTTTAACTTCAATTTTTTGCATGACTTTGGGGTTGGGGTGAAGGATTGGCAGCTAACCTTGGTTTATAACCTGTGAACTGTATTTTTAAGGTATTTTGAAAAACACTTCATATATATAAACCAAAACATTGCATTTATTGGGGATTATATATTTAGCATCTTCTGATTACCTTCTGAAATCTCTCACTGGGGTTTATGCAGCTCACAGAATGTTAACCAGTTCCCCTGCCTGCTTAAAATCTAAATGACGTGCTTATGTCGGCCACTAGGGAGCGACATGGAGTCTTCAGGCCTTGGGCAGTTTTCACTGAAAGCACTTGCTCTGTCAAGGCTCTGTTCACCCCTGAGGAACACCTTAGCGCAACTATAATGCACTGCCTGTGGTCTCAGAGGCTTAAAATGATGTTTCATGCAGTGGAAAAGAACCTATATCACATGCAGACTATCACCCCATATTCATCACAGAGAATATAAAAGATGGTTAAAAACGAAAACCAGCATTTGCAAACAACAATGCATAGGGATTTTAACAGCAAAGTGAAAACTTCATTACATCATCAAGGAAAATAATTTTGAAAATTAAAAATAAATTAACTTTTTTCGTCCAACCCTACAACTTACATAACACGCACATAAACACTCGCAAGCATGTACACGCATATGTACACACACAAGCACGTGTACGCACATTCATTCAGGACTGACAGCAGTGAGCGGCTGTCATACAGACTCTTGGCTTATCAGGAAATGCTTCTCATTTTACTTCCTACTTCTCACTTTCTAACTGTAAACTAAAGTAAGTTATCACAGGCAATAGAAAGGCATGGCCTTATCAAGTCATACTTTTAAGAGTATGACTTTGCAGAAACAGAAAGTGAACAAAAAATCAAACCCACTGCCTTTCAGTGGATTCTGACTCATAGAGACCCAACAGGACGGAGCAGAACTGCCCCCTAGGGTTTTCAAGGCTGTGATCTTTATGGAAGCAGACTGCCACATTTCTCTCCCTTGGAGCAGCTGGTGGCTTCCAACCACAGACCTTTTGGTTGGCAACCCAGTGCTTAAACCACCGCACCACAGCAAAATTCAAGGCACTCAAATTACAGGAAGTGTTAGTTGTTCCAATGCTACATTTTTACAGTATTGAAGGACAGGGCAACATTCTCATCGCTATAATAAGAGCAACGTAAGAATATGCATTGAAAATCATTCTGCAATTCACATAATGCATATGTTCTGCAACTTAATGTATATTGTTTTTACTCAAAAGTGTTTTATTTCCTGACCCCGATACTGAATTACGAATTCCAATATTTTAAAATTTCCTCCAAATTTTAAATACAAAGATTGTTAGATTTTTTAAATTGGTCTTCTCAATTTTAAAATAAAGCGTATTTTAAATATAAATGGGCAGGTAATTTAATTTCTCCTCATTGAGGACACGTTAATCATGTTAGTCAACTAACAGCTGACAGTAACACACACCACTGACGCTTCTCCACTTGCCATCAGCTGACATAAACCACTGCAGTGTGCTTCCAGCAAGTGTTTGAACAGAGACTTCTCGGTAAAATACAATACAATGTGCAATATCAAACTTCTTCAGGAGTTCAAGAACTCTACTACGCATCGGTACGCCAGGTCTGAACTCCAGCTCTTTAAGAAGAGCAAGTAAGAAGCAGGCATAAATACGGTAACTCCTTTTTGAAAATCAAAATGCCTCATAAGTATCTTGGAAACATTTTTAGGAAAAATTAAACACCTCTTTAAAAAAATCTTATTTTTCAGTATTTCACAACGAGAGTTCAGAAATTCAGAGTTTATCAAGTTGAAAGCAGTCTTGCTTTATTATGATCTAAATGAGAACTGTCTCCTGTTGTATCTCAAGTTTGACCAACTTCCCCAAGTGAATCTCCAAGCTTTAAGCACTCACGCCTGGTGACTACATTCCTTCACGCTTTTTCCTAACATCGCGCACACAGCCTAGTGCTCCGCATAATAGGAGCGAACACTCCAGGAAAACACCCTGGTTGACTGGTCATCCTTGTTCCAGGAGCCGTGTGGACTCCCACTAATGGGCTAAGGACAGAGGTCTTCCCCACCGGAGTGAACTCGCGCTCGCCTGAGCCGCTTAACTGCCCGGGATTCGAGACCCCTCCCTGCACCGGGGGAGACGACTCTGAAATAAAAAACGTGATCTCTATTACTAGGCACCCCTCTGGGCCTTTCACTTGAGTAACTTGGTTTTCCCTATTCCCTTAGTAACAACTTTCTATTAAATAATTTAAAAAAAAAAAAAAGAACAAGAAAAATGAAACTTCAAGGAAGCGCACATACAGTTCACTAACTTTGAACCAACGTACACAAGGTTAAAGAGTACACATACTCTGCGCAGGTTCTGCGGTCCAAAGCAACCCAAACGCCAGTCTTTGCGCAGCCCGACCCCAGGCGCCACCCGCGCACCTACCTTGGCCTCCCCCGCGTCGGGCTCCTCGTCGGAGAAGCCGAGTCCGGACTCGAAGGCGGCGGCGGCGGCGGGCGCCTCGCGCGCACCGGGGAGCAGCGCAGCGGCGAGCAGGGAACACGCCAGAGAGAAGAAGCCCAGCAAGTGCATGGTGGAAGGAGCGGGGGCTGGGGAGGCTGGGCCGCGGCGGGGGCCGGGTGGGGGCGCGGGCGCCCCTGCACTGCTGCGCTCCCCGCCGGGTCCCTTTCCCCCGAGATCCTCCCGGTAACCCCCCTGGGCGAGCCGGCGGCGGCGGGAGCGGGTCCGGCGCTCCGCGGTCCAAACTTTGCAAGTCGCTCTCCCAGCCAGTGCCTGGGAAGGGCGAGGGGTGTCAGGTAAAAGCCTCACAGGAAACCGGACATCCAAGCTCCCCTCATTCGGAGCCGGCGAGGTGAAGGGAGGGCGGACGGCTCCTCGGTTCGCGTTTTTGTTTTTGCTTTTTGGAAGTGGGAGGGAAAAGCCAAAACACCCCGCAATTTTCCACCGCTCTAAACCCCCCAGAGCCCTCCTCCCTCCCCTTCTCTGAAGTGAAACAAGCCGGGCTGCGGG